GGGACCGTGACATATTGTGTGCCAGGACACACTGGTGTGTGAGCCCGGGGTGCTGAGAGCCTGGGAATGATGTCAGGGCCCTTGGTAGGGCAGCTCCCATGTTCCCTCGTGCAAAGCCCCGATGGGCTACCACATCCTGGACAAGACAGTGGGGAGCAGGAAGGGGTGATCAGCCCATGTACCTTCTCTTTTCCCAGGGGAGAGGGCATGTGCAAAGGAGAAACCGTCACCATCCATCCAGCTGGACTGCCAGGCCAGTACCAGGCCTCCTGTGAGTGCCCTGCCCTGAGCCGGGTGCAGAGTGGGAGGACCACCAGGGGACACTCGACGCCCAGCGTCGGCCACAGAACAAGGGGAGGGGCAAGCCCGGGGGTGAGGGGTGCCACACACATCCTCCTAGTGGCCTCGGGATGTCCACAGGGCAAGAGCGTGGGGCCTGGGACCGAGAAGGAGTGTCACACACGCTGACCTGGGTCTCCCACGGTCAAGGGAACAGCATGTCCTCTCAGGGACAACACACCATTCACGGGGCAGGGACGTGGGGTCTGGGGGACAGAGGAGGGCCAATCATGCACCTGGCCTGAGTTTCCCACAGTCAAGGGGGGTCACCTGCACATCCACTTCGTGGACACCGACTACAGCAACCTCATTCTCTACCTGCGCTTTGAGGACGACGAGGTCACCAGCCTGTGGGCGCTGCTGGGTAGGTGACTGCACGGACCAGAGGGGCTCTGGACTCTCTGGGGTCTGCCCTGTGGTCCACTGTCCCGGAGGCGTCTTCTCTGTCTGCTGTGCAAAGGGTACAGGTGGCTGCTGAGTCAGCACCTCCTCCCCCATGGGCCCCACAGGTGGCTTCTGCCATGCAGGCACTCATTCCCTCATGCACTCATCCATTCACTCATGCATTCATTCCCTCATTCACTCATTCATCCACTCACTCATTCACTCATTCATTCATTCACTCATTCATTCAACACTTGTTTGCTAGTTCACATGTTTACTCATTCATTCCCTCATAAATTAACCCATTCACTCATTCACTACTCATCCATTCCCTCAATTCCCTCATTCACTCATTCACCATTCACTCATTCTTCCGTTCCCTCATCACTCCTTTAATCACTCATTCACTCATTCATTCATTCATGTGCTTACTCATTCACTCATTCAACTGATGCACCTCACATGCCTGCTACCTGGGAGGCCTGCTTGGGGAACCTGGATTACCAGTGAAACCTAAAACAATCCTCTTATCTTCCTCCTTATCACGCAATGAGATGGGGTCCCATGGGGCTTCCAGAAGGCCCTGGAAGAAAAGCCAGGGGGCGCAGGGGAGGGAGCGGGGCCTGGAGGAGCTGCCCTGTCTCACGGACTAGACAGCAATGGATGGGCTGCGGGCAGTGGAGGACAGCGGCTCAGCCACAGCTCAGGCCTGAGGGTGGCCATGACAGCTAGTGGTGAGGAGGGTGGGGCATGGGAGATGGTGGCGCCAGGCCTGAAGGGGGCCCTGGGGTCTCCAAGGAGGAGGGCTGGGCCTGACTCCCTCCGAGGAGTGCATCGCCCGTGGAGCTCAGAGCAGGCCCCTTGAGGGGGCGAGGGCGGGGCCTTGATCAGCTAAGCAGAACAGGCCTAGAAGGCTCGGGGAAGGAGGCATGGGGGTTGGGACCTCTACGTGGGGGTGGCCTCCACTCGGTCCTCTGCCTCAGCCTCCCTGACCAGAGTATGGGATGGAAAGGACAGAGCTCCAGGCCTCAGGACTCACACCAGCCCCTCTGACTTCAGCAAGGAGACCGAGTGAGGACCCCACCTGGCTGGAGAAGTACCGCGGGTATGTGGAGAGGTTCCACCTGCAGAGAGCCCCGGCCTACAACACAGACGGTGAGCACGGCCTCCAGCAGGGAACGCTGGGCCTCGGCTTCTTAGCCTAGGGCCCTGGGGGGAAAACAGTGACAGGACCAGCATGACGAAGGATTTGACCAGCCTCCACACTCACCGTCGCCAGCCTCCATGCCCCCATGGCCAGCCTCCATGCTTCCGTAGTCAGGTCCATGCTGGTGCTTCGCCCACCAGATCTCACATAGCCCCACGTGGCACAGTGGCATGGACACAGTGCTGTCTCTGTTCTGTGGATGTGGCTCAGCGGCATTCAGGAACAAGGCCCAGGTCACACAGTCAGGAGGGGGAGGAGTTGGAAGTGAGCCGGATCTCCTGCCTCCTGAGCTAAGTCTCTCCCTTGTACCATCACTCAGGCAATCAACAAACATACAGGCCAGGCCTTTTCTAAGCTTGAGATGCACTTAGAACAAGACAGACACGTTCTCCAACCTTTGTGAAGGTTTCCTTGTAACAAGCATTGTTATTACATGATTTGTTAGAGACCAGGGCTGTGGGAACTGTGGGGGGGGAATCCTAGAACAGGGTCAGGAGAAGGTGGAGAGGGTGGGCATCTCTGAGAAGAGAGGAAAGGAGGGAGGGCTGCCTGGAGGAAGAGTCACACATGGACTATTGGGTGAAGCAGAGGGATTCCTCGGGGCAGGAGGTGATGGGTTTCCCCCAGAGCACAAGGCCCGGCAGCAAGTGGCCACAGTAGGACCAGACACCCCAAGGCAAGGTGACCCCAGAGAGAGAGGGCCACTGTGGGCTGAATGACTGATGGGTGGATGGATGAATGGATTGCAAAATGAATGCACAAAGCCTTAGAATCACCACCTCTTCCTCTCCACAGGCCAGTGTCCCCCGCCACAAGCGTAGCTCAGGCCCCTGCCTGGGCCAGCTCCTCCCTCTGTGCTGCCTGTGGCCTCCCTCCCTCCCCCTTCTCCTTCACCTGTGGCCGAGGCCTGGCCCAAATGCCCTTGGAAACCTCTCAAACCTAGAGCCTGTCCCTGGCATCCCCTCCCTGCTGGGAAGGCCCCTCCTCTCTGTGACCACCAGGTCCAGCCAACCAGCAGCATCCTCAGCCAGGAGGGGGTGCATGCTCCCCTGAGCCCCTGACTCCTCCAGAACATTCTCCGTGAGCAGAACACGTCCCAGACGCCTCTGACGTGCCCACTGAGGGCTGCTGGGGTCACCCCCATGTCATTCAGAAACAAGACCCTGTGTGGGCTGCCCCGGCTCCCTCTGCCCTCTGAACTGCCTCTAAAGAGACCCTCTAGAGAAGCAGTCTCCAGGTCTGTGAGCAAACGCAGTCTAACTCCACTGAGGTCTCCAGTCCCAAGTGACCATGGCCCCAGACCATGGTCCCCAGTAGGAGCCAGACAGGGCTGCCAGGTAAACACAGGCCGGCGTACCTCTGTGACAGGTGAGCAGAGACAGGTCAACGTCCACCCCCAGAGTCAAGGCCACCTGCCAGCAGGGCAGGCTCCAAGGAAACTGGGTCAAGGCCTTGATACCCGTCATCTGGAAACACCCGGGACAGGTGTGGCCGGATGCCCGGTCCAGAAACACCCTTGGCAAAGGCTTTTCCACCACGACCAACCATATGAAATAAACACAATGAGGTTAAACTCGAGGCTGGTGATGAGCATCATTACAGAACAGATACATGGAGCGTTACAATGCTCTGTAATCTACAAGCCCAGTTAGAGAAACCCAAGGGTGGACAGGCATGGTGGCACATACCTGTAGTCCCAGCACTTTGGGAGGCTGAGGCAGGAGGATAGTTTGAGAGTAGGTGTTTGAGACTAGCCTGGGCAGCATAGTGAGACACTGTGTCAAGAAAAAAAAAATCAGCTCATTGTAGTAGTACACACCTGTAGTCTCACCTACTTGGTTGGAAGGCTGGGACAGGAAGACTGCCTGAGCCAAGGAGTTCAAAGCTACAGTGAGCTATGATCACACCACTGCACTCCAACCTGAGCAACAGAGCAAGACCCTGTTGAAGAAAAAGGAAAGAAGGAAAGAAGGAAGGAAGGGAGGGAGGAAGGGGAAAAATACAAGGGAAAAAACCTATATTTTTGAAGTACACGCTCATATGTTTAACAAGACTTTTACAGAATTTATATGAAGGTAATAAAAGCATTCTTCTGGAGCATGAAAAAATTACTTTAGTAAATAGTCAGAAATTGACATTTCTGTGTATTTCTTAACATCATAAAGATTTAATAACACTCAAATTAAAAGAACTAAGATTGTATTGTAATGAAAACAAAAACTTACCACCCGGGGGTGGATGCAATGGCTCATGCCCATAATCCCAGCACTTTGGAGGCTGAGGCAGGAGGATCACTTGAGCCCAAGAGTTCGAGACCAGCCCAGGCAACATAGCAAGACCTCATCTCTCCAAAAAATTTTAAAATTACCCGGACTTGGTGGTGCTGCCTGCGGTCCCACTACTCAGGGGGCTGAGGCAAAAGGATCACCGGAGCCCAGGAAGTCAAGGCAGCAGTGACTTGGCAGGGGTGATCATACCACTGCACTCCAGTGAGATCCTGACTCAAAAATAAAATAATAAAATAAAATGCTTACAGCTTTTTAAAAAGGAACGGAATATCTCTCTTTGTAACAATAAAAGTAAGACATGTATTTGGTTGAATTCCTCTGGCTCATCTGTGCAAGCCACATGTTGGACAGGTTGCGACAACACGAGGGTGATGACCGCAAGCCAAGTATCTGTATCCCAACATGGAAAAACACAATACACATCTGATGAGTGGTCTGATATTTATTTTTTCCTTTGCACATAATCCTTTTCCATTTTGTGAATATATTTATTTTTCAGAACTAGAGTCTTTCTCCACTTAAAAAATTCTTCCTATACCAAAAGTATTTCCATGTTATCTGCACTAATATAGATAATAACATGACTGTGTGTTAACCTTAAGTAATTATCCTTTTATTCTTAATCTTGTCTTACCCCAATTGGATGGCTCAAAATTGCAAGAAGAAGTTTCCTTTGGAAGGGTGCACAACTTATGTCTTTAAAGAATGGGAAGTTTGGAGGTGTCCTCCATTCATAAGAAACAGCTGTGATCTGTTTATTAGTCATGAGTTTAGTGGCAAAATCATGAATTCCTTTCCGTGCGACGTGCTACCTTAACATATTGGATCTGTATGGGCAGATTGAGGGCAGAGTCCCAGTTGTACTCTGGCGATAAGAGCTTGGTCGGCTTGTTGAGGAAAAAATACTTGTTGAGGTGCCTTTCATAGGTGCTGTTGAGTCCATTTCTGGTGTCGTCAATGACTCCTTGCAGATATTTATCGATGAAGTTCAGGACCTGATGGGGCGTGCCGCCCACGGTGGAGCCGTCGTAGAAGAAGTCACCCTGCCCTAACGGGATGAAGGCTGCAGAGTTCCGCCGCCTTTCATAAGGGAAGTTCTTGGTGTTCCTGAAATACCACCAGGAGTGGAGCTGAGCCACCGAGGGGGCCAGAGTCTCCACCCCGAACCTGTTCTGGAAGACCTGGTCCACGGCCATGCAGAAGAGGAAGTCCACCTCATCCTGGATGTAGCTCACGATGTTTGCTCCCAGGTTTTTCATGTGCAGCAGGTGCAAGTCATGCCACGTGTAATCGATGCCCGTCTTCAGCACCCTGAACGTGTGAAGAGGGCTCCGCGCTATGCCCGGCAGCCTGACAAAGGTGTCCATCAGGATGTAGAAGATGACACGGTGGCCTGGCATGAAGTACTTGCTTGCGGACCGCAAGAACAGCCCCAGGGACTTGTGGGCAAACCTGGGAACACACCAAGACACACACTGGCTTTCTTGGCACTGTCAGGAAGATTGAGCCGTCTGACGCAGGTGCCATCCAAGTTCCCTGTGTGGCCAGTCACAGGTTCTTGGGCTTTCAGGTGGTAGAAATTGGCACCAAACCAAAACAGACTCCCAGACAAGATCTTACTGGGGGGCGTGCACAAAAGACCTAGCTCAGGGGAAAGAGTCGTCTGACCAGCGCCCAGGCAGTGATGCGGGGTGCGGGGGGTGGTCCTGGTCTTTTTTTAGATAGGGGAAAGAGAACAATGTCAAAGGAAAAGAATGCCAACATGTTAGAAGGGGTGGGCTTCTAATACGTAAGTATAGTGTAGACACTTCATCCCATGTAGCATGTACAAAAAATAGCAGATAATGGCCGGGTGCAGTAATCCCAGCACGTTGGAAGGCTGAAGCAGAAGGACTGCTTGAGGCCAGGAGTTCAAGACCAACCTGGGCAACATAGCGAGACTTCATCTCTACAGGAAAATCAAAAAATTAGCCAAACTTGGCTGTGTGTACCTGTAGTCCCAGCTACTCTAGAGGCTGAGGCTGAAGGGTCGCCTGAGCCCAGGAGTTCGAGGCTGCAGTGTGTTATGATTTTTTTTTTAATGGCAGATAAACCCCTCCTGAGATGGGGATGTTAGTATTATAATGCAGCAGGAGTTACAGTCAGGAACCCTCTGGTGCTTGTGCGTGTGCAGGAGAGTGGTGGGCGGGAGCTATGGTCCAAGCAAGATTGATGGTGGAACATTGCTTATCTCAACGGGTTGTTCAAGGCTGTGAACTGTAGGAAGGGTCCAGCTGGAGTGTAGCTGCCAAGTCCAGTGGTTAAAGTCTGACAGAGACCCATTACTGTTCCTGCTCTGTCTCACTCACAACACGTCAGGGTGGAGAAGTTGGTCCATGACTTTCACTGTCAGTGTGTGAGTGAGAACATGTGACCCCTGTGGGCCTGAGAAAAGCCCCCAGGTTTCGGGATGACTTGTGAAGAAAGGAAGAGAGAACTGAATGATGTAAGTCAGAGACTCTTGTGTGGGTTAGCGACCCAGCCATCAGCAGAAGACAGCCAGAAATCATGGTCACGGGCAGCCACGGCTGGCTCTGTGGAGGTGGACAGTCCACGATTGCTCACCCATCCTTCCAAAGTGAGAAAGGGCAAAGTTGAGCAGGACCTACCTGCCAGAGACCAAGACGGCCAAGCCCACGGTGATATTCCTCCTTCTGTAGTGATCTTCCAGGACCTGTCTGTTGAAAGTCCCTTCCCAGATGACTGGGGCAAGCCAATCAGTTGTAGTTATAACATCAGGGCGTCTTCTGAGGAACCAACAAGAAACAAGTTCAACAAGAGGAGTTCACAGCTCAGCCTTTCCTAAGACAATAGGTGCTAAGTGATGATCACTAGTACTTAGGGCCAGCTGGGCACCTGCTCTGTGTCTGAGGATGATGCCTGGTGCTGTGAGCACTGTCATGACCCCTGTTCTTGATGGGGAAATGGAACGGTGTAAGATTTAGGGGGAAAGTAAGTCCGCAGAAGATTACATGAGTGTGATATTCTTTATAAAGATATACCCCACTAAAATTAAAAATGAAATTTTTAAGCCCGGGCTCTGTGGCTCAGCTTGTCATCCCAGCACTTTAGGGGGCCGAGGCGAATGGGTTGCCTGAGCCTGAGGGTTCGAGACCAGCCCAGGCAACTTGGCGAGACCTTGTCTCTACAATAAATAAAAAATTAGCCGGGTGTGGTAGCACATGCCTGTAGTTTCAGTTACTTGGAAGGCTGAGGCAGAAGGATTGCCGGAGCCCAGCAGGTTGACGCTGGGGTGGCCATGAGCGTGCCACTGCACTCCAGCCTGAGTGACGGAGTGAGACTCTGACTCAAAAAAAAAAAAAAAAAAATTAAACCAAAAAGAGTAAAGGAGGAAAAAATAAATAAAAATAAAGATGGACTTTTTCAGAATACATATGGACTTTTTCAGAATACATATGGATGAGATACATATTAAATACAAGTAACATATTCACATATATATAATATATATATACAGGTTGCATATGATATACAAGTTATATACAAAGATAAGAAAGAGCAGGACCAACCAGGATCATTTGACGAATCACTAAGATTCAGGATGGTGAGTATTTCAGAAGCAGAGGGTAGGAGAACAGGGGCAGGGATGGAATAAGGGTACAGGGAAAGACAGAAAGCTAGAGGTAAGTACTGAAGGTTGGTGTTTCATTTCATTAACAAAAAGCAATTATTAACAAGTCAAAAATAACAGGTGTGGCACAGCTGCAGAGAGAAGGGGACATCGTTATATTGTTGGTGGGACTGTAAGTCAGTCCAGTCTCTATCAAATCAATGTGGCAATTTCTCAAAGAACAAAAAAGATACCTGCACACGCATGTTTAGTAAAAACACGGAACCACACAAGACGCCCATTGAAAGTGGACTGGATGAAGAAAATGGGGTACATATATATGATGGAGTATTACAAGCCATTAAGAAGACAAAATCAGCCGGGCTCGGTGGCTCAGCCTGTAGTCCCGCGCCTTTGGGAGGCTGAGGTGAGTGGATTGCCTGAGCCCGCGGGTTCGAGATCCGCCTGGGCAGGCGAGACCTCATCTCTACAATAAATCAAAAAAAAAAAAAAATTAGCCGGACGTGGTAGCGCGTGCCTGTAATTCCGGCTACTCGGAAGGCTGAGGCGGAAGGATTGCCGAGCCCAGCAGGTCGAGGCTGCGGTGGCCGGGAACGGCCACTGCACTCCAGTCTGGGCGACAGAGTGAGACTCCAACTCACAAAAAAAAGAAGACAAAATCAAGGTCTTTACAGCAACTTGGATGCAGGTGGAGACCATTACGAAGTGAACTATCACAGAAGCAAAGAACTGAACACTGCATGTTCTCACTCATAAATGGGCCCTGATCACTGGTTACAGGAGCACAAGGGTAGGATCAGCAGTCGCTGGACACTGCTAGGGACGGAAGGGAGGGAGGAGGGAAGGAGCACATAACAACACAAAGGATACCAGGTCCACTCTCGGGGGACAGAGGACCAGCTAGAAGCCCAAACGTCACCTGCACGCAGCCTACTTATGTAGTAAATCCTCTCCTGTACCCCACAACTCTAAATATAAATAATAAATAAGCAAGCAAGTAAATAGTCATGAAAAGTAAGGGCGGGTTTTGCATTAAACAATGATTGTCGTGAACCATGGATCATGATTCATCTAATTCCATGCACCCGAGATCCATGCAAAATATATGTGAAAAAAGAATACCAAAAGGTGAAATACAAATGAATGGTAAATATACAAAAAGGCGTTCGAACAATAACAATTATGAAAATGCGCATTGAAGGGAGATATTTTAACTAGCGGTTTGGCCAAGAATAAACGAGTGGAGCATACTTTATGCACTGTAGGTGAGAAAATGAAATGGCACAATTATTACAGGGAAATTTAGCTAATTTAAATGCCTACTTTCTTTGACCTGATGATTTCATGTTGGAAACATATATCCCACATGCAAACTCAACATCAGTGTGAAAAACATGTGTAAGGTTAGTTACGAGAACTTTACTCACAATAGTCCCTCAACCGTAAAGAACGCAAAGCCCATAGGGAATTGGCCAAATAAATTATGGCATTCAACCACAAAGTGGAATAGGACATAACTGTTAGAGGACGAGGCTCCCCCAAGTGCTGACACCAAAGTCTAGCAGAGTCACGAGTGGCATTTTCAAGCTGTTTTTATTTTTGTTTTGTTTTGTTTTTTGAGTTGGAGTCTCATTCTGTCGCCCAGACTGGAGTGCACGACCTGCTGGGCTCCGGCAATCCTTCCACCTCAGCCTTCCAAGTAGTTGGAACTACAGGCGCATGCTACCACGCCTGGATAATTTTTTTGATTTATTGTAGAGATGAGGTCTCAGCAAGTTGCCCAGGTGGGTCTTGAACCCACAGGCTCAGGCAATCCACTCACCTCAGCCTCCCAAAGCGCAGGATTACAGGCTGAGCCACCAAGCCCTGCTCAAGCTGTTTTTAAAGAGCTTCTTTCACTGAATAAACTAGGTAGGGTGTGTCAGCTTTCTCATGACCAATGTGATTGCCTGTTGTGGTTTTTTTTGAGTCAGTCTCACTCTGTCGCCCAGGCTGGAATGCAGTGGCACATTCAGGGCCACTCTAGCTTCAACCTACTGGGCTCCAGTGATCCTTCCACCTTAGCCTTCCAAGTAGCCAGAACTACAGGCACGTGCTACTACACCCAGCTAATTTTTAAAAATCTATTGTAGGGTCTCGTCAAGTTGCCCAGGCTAGTCTCGAATCCATGGGTTCAGGCAATCCACTCGCCTCGGCCTCCCAAAGTGCTGAGATTACAGGCTGAGTCGCCGAGCCCAGCCACCTGATTTTTTTAATTTAAATTTACATTTATTAAATGTAACTTGGGGGTTTCTATAGAGATGGGGGTCTTGCCGTGTTGCCCTCAGGCTGATCTAGAGCTCCTGGCCTCAGGCGATCCTTCCTTCTTGGTCTCTCAAAGTACTAGGATTATAGGAGTAAACCACAATGCCCAGCGATTGCATGATTCTTGCTAAATAGACCCAGGTTTGTACCTAAGAGCCTTGAAACTAAAAACTCTGATTTTGGATATTTCCAGGATAGCTATACGAGGTGGGACCCCAAAAGATCCAGAATTATCTTCTGGAGGGTAAGCCCTTTGTAGTACAGGCTTCCCCCACAGGTAAGTGTTCCAGGAACCCATTGACAAAGGTATGCCAGCTAGCGTTGTTGAGAGAGGCTGCTTTCTGCAACTTGAGACTCCAACTCAAAAAACAAAACAAAACAAAAATAAAAACAGCTTGAAAATGCCACTCGTGACTCTGCTAGACTTTGGTGTCAGCACTTCTTTTTGAAGATTCTTGCAACGCGTTTGCCCATTTCATGATGGGTGATTTGTGAGGGCACCTGCCCACACCACGCTGAGTGTTCATGGTTGACCCTGTAAGGCCAGAGGTACTGGAGGGCGGGGCGGGCCTCAACAAGATGGCTCCAACCCGGACCAGGAGAATAATGGGCTGAAGTGAGCCAGCAAAAATGAATAACAGTAACTAAGACTCCAGCCGCAAAGCCAGCCAGTACCTGTCACAGCAACTCTAGAGACCCCGTTCAGCCAGTCGCCAGCAGACGTGACAGCTGTCCCAACCAATGATCGCTCTCCCCAATCCCCCTCACAGCTTTCTCAGTGTGCCCTTTATCAACCTGTCGCCCATCTTGCTGGGCACGACTTCTCCGGCCCACAGCTATATGGACCAGAGAACCTCGCCTGGGACTGCGCTAATAAATTTTTCTCGACTCCTTTGTTGCCGTCTCGCCGGGTCTGGTTTCGTTTACCTTACAGACCCCCGTTCCCCAACCTCCCTATTCACCCAATCTCACCCTGAGTGACTTTTTGTTTGTTTGTTTCTCCAGATGAAAACAGTCCTCAAAGGGAAACGTTTGCCAATGTGGAAGAGATGAAACAAAAAATGACAGAAGCACTCAAAGGCATCCAAATGGATGAGTTCAAAAACGTTTGGGCAGTGACAAAAGCATCTTGATAGGCGTGCTACATGAAACAGAGTACTTTGGAGGTAACTGAAGTTTAAGCACGTAAGAATGCATGCACCATTTTGGGGGGGTGTTTTTTTGTTTTTTGTTTTTTAGTCTGTCTCCCAATTTGGTGACGGGCTGGGGGAAACCCTCTCCCTTCCAGTTGAGATATATTATTTTTGTGTGCATGTCAAGACATTCTTGTTCTTACCGAGGCATAAACCAGTCTGACAGTTCAAGCTCTTCTACCTGATGGCTCCTAGGTGTGAAGCAAAAACCAGGTTATTACAAGGAACCCGTTTGCCCAATACATATTATTATTCCCCTTGTATGGGCAGGCCCTGCCTGGCTCTGGTTCTGCAACTATGGACACACTCTGGTTTCTGTCTCCAGGAAGCCTGAAGTAGGGAAGACGGCCTCAGGTAGAAAATGACAGTCCCACACGGCAGGTACTAGCATGGAAACCCAAATTCAGGGTCAGGGAAAGCCACTCAGAGAAGAGCTATCCCAGGCAGGTGGAGAAGGACGTGAGTTGGTCCAGGGAAGAGATGTGGTTAAGGAGATCATGGCAAAGGCAGAAGGGAGGAAGGTCTTGGGAGGAAGATTTCATTTGTTCTTTTTTTTTAATTTTAATGAACAGATCAGCCAGGCACAGTGGCTCACGACGGCTTGTAATCCCAGCACTTTGAGAAGCTGAGGTGGGAAGACTGCTTGAGCCCAGGAGCTTGAGGCCAGTCTGAGCAACTAAGGAGACCTCTTCTCCACAACAATTTTAACAATTAGCTGGGTGTGATGACGCATGCCTGTGGTCCCAGCTACTCAGAAGGCTGAAGCGGGAGGATCGTCTGAGCCCAGAGGTCAAGGCTGTGGCAAGCTATGATCGTGCCACTGCACTCAAGTCTGGCGACAGAGTGAGACCCCCAACTAAAAAAAAAAAAAGAAAAAGAAAATAAGCAGATTGGCTAAGGGATGTATATTCAGACACAAGCATCGATTTAATTAATTTCTCATACATGGTGGCTTTGCTACGTGCTGATGTGGAGACTGAGTAGAAGCTGGGAGGAGGCTGGAGGCACGCCCTCAATCCTCTTGGCATTCCAACACCTGAGTGGTGTTGTGCTTTTGAGTTAATTATTTTACCAGCAAGCGTAATAGGCAACTTTCCTTTCATAACCCTGGGATATTTTGTCAGGAAGAGAAATTACCTCACGACTGAGTCCTTTTCTGACATAATAGACAAGTTATTTCCCCCCTGAGTTCCCCAGAGCCAGACTCTGTTCAGACCCAAGTTGTCCAGGCCAGAATTCGTGAAAAGGGAGGACTTTGTAAAAAGTCACCATTCTTTCGAGTGTTAGTCTTGTTCACTTCTGGGCCCAGCGGCGTGTGCAGAATAGAGAGCATGTTGGCAGAGGAAGGTGCTCGTAACCTAAGGAAGACACAGTTCTTGACAGAGAGGCCTAAACGCCAGCACGTGCCCAGCCCCGGTCCCATGTGCCAGGTGAGGTGGGGACAGGCTGGGTTGGGTGTGCTGTTGCAGGGACTGGCCTCGGCGACTTCTTTACAGCAGGCCGGGACCGTTGCCAGGAGACCGCAGGCACCAAGCTAAATTTGTCACACCAAAGTGCCTTCATATCAGCTGGGTAACCATCAGCCTATCCTGCCTCCCAGACCTCAGAGCTGCCCTGATGGCTGCACCTGTGTAGCCCTAAGAGTGCCCAGGCCACAGCCGCCCTCAGAGCTCTTGGGTCCAATGACACCCTTGAGCAGGACAGGTAAGCTCCCCTTCTTGTCCCCCTCCACCCAGGCGCCTCAGCTGCTTCCCCTTCTGGGGGTGCCCCAACCCACTGTCTGCAAGAGGTTTGGGTGGTAGACGCCCTCTCCCAAGCAACCCCATCCAAGGGCTGCCCTGTGGTCCAACACTGCCGTCTCAAGTCCTGTCCTCTCTGTGGTCAAGCCCCAAGCCCTCACGGTCACCACACGCACACACACAGACACCCATGCACACGCACACATATGCATACCCACACTATGTGCAAACTAAACTACACGTATACAGGTGGCATTGTCCTTAGAGACTTCAGTCTTTGGTTTTCTGCCCCTCTTTCTTCTGTTACCACTAGTATCTACCTAACCACCCCACCAAGTTTTCTCCCAGTTTGTGGAATATTTATTTATTTGAGTCGGGGTCTTGCTCCAACCCTGTAGTGCAGTGGCACAATCATGGCTCACTGCATCCTCAACCTCCTAGACTCAAGTGATCCTCCCATCTCAGCCTTCTGAGTAGCTAGGACTACAGGCTCACACCACCATGCCCAGATAATTTTAAACGTTTTTTTGTAGAGACAAGGTCTCACTGTGTTGTCCAGGCTAGTCTCGAACTCCTGGACTCAAGTGATCCTCCCGCCTCGGCCTCCCAAAGTTCTGGGATTAGAGGCATGAGCCACAGTGCCTGGCCTGTGGAATATGTTTATGCAACAGATTCTTGCCAAAAGAGATGATTTTTCTGGAAAGAGTTTTGTCAGACACAGCCCAGGACAGTTGTAAGCAGTGAATACTCTTTTAGTGTGTCTCAAATATCACATGATGCATAACTTCTGCTAAAACTGATTCATTGGTTAGCCCTGAAATTCAAATGTGACTGAGCGTCTTGTATGTTTATTTCCTAAATGTCCTTCCTTCCTTCCCCCCTCCCTCCTCTCTGCCTCTTTCCCTTCCTCCCTCCCTTCCTTCCTTCCTTCCGAATTTCTCCCACTTCCTGGGTGATTTTGTAAAATTTGCATACGTTAAGCTTTCCTCTGTGCTATAAAGTCCTGTGAATTTTGAAAAGCGCCTAGTGTCACCTGTTCACTGTACAGTATCATACAAAACAGTTTCCCTGCCCCTCCCCAAATTCCAGTTCACCTACTTACCCTCTCCTCCACCTCCCACCACCCCAGCCTTGGCAACTACTAATTTTTTACTGCCTCTATGATTTTACCTTTCCAGAAAGCCATATAATTAGAATAATAAAGCCTGCAGCCATTCAGACTTCCTTCTTCCATTTAGTGATATGCATCTAAGGTTCATATCAACTTTTTTTTTTGAGTTGGGGTCTCATTCTGTCACCCAGGTTGAAGTGCAGTGGCATGATCATGGCTTACTGCAGCCTTGACCATCTGGGCTCAGGCGAGACAATCCTCCTGCCTCAGCCTCCCCAGTAGCTGGGACTATAGATATGTGCCACCATGCCCAGCTAATTTTTTCATTTTCTGTAGAGACAGGGTCTCACTATGCTGCCCAGGCTGGTCTCGAACTCCTGGGCTCAAGTGATCCTCTGTTCAGTTATTTTGCCCAATTTTTAATTGCCTAATTGCCCAAATTTAATTATTTAATGTAGTTGTTTGTTTCTACATTGTTAAATTTTAAGAACTCTTTGCATATTTGGAGGACAAGTCCTTTATCAGATATGTGCTGTGCAAAGGCTTAATTTTCAATGACATTCTCTCTCATGACACAACTAATTTTCAAATAGCATGCAGAAGCACTGCCTTTCTTATAAAGAAGACCGTGGGGCATAAAGGAGGAGAAAAGAATTAGGACTTTTCTAGAGAGAGAATTTTAGCAGATGAAAGGATTTGTCCTCCAGCACACATGCATTTCTATAGCAGGTTGATTTTAGTTTACTTTAAACGCAAACATGGAACTTCGAGATAGTTTGATTTATCTAAAACAGCATTCTCAGCTTGCTTTATTTTCTGCGATGCTTATTATATAAAATATGGCATCCCTGACATTGTATTCCATATTGTTTATTGGACCTTCTCCACCTGGGATGGAAAGTTCCCTGAGGGCAGGGACTTTGGTACTGTGGCGTTCCTGGCACCTACAATAGAGCCAGGCATCTAGAGAGTGTGCCACAAATAATTGCTGAATGTTTAAAAATGAAAGACTTTGCTTTGTCCCACAGAGAGGAGGTAACATCTGATCAACTTGGAGAGTGCTATTAATATCTTTGGACAAAATTCAGCTGTTTAGGTCACCCTTAACAATTACCAAAGGTTAAAGGTCATGATTCACTGGTATTTTATATTTACCTGAAATAACGCTCCACCAACAACAGTGATAAAACAAATGAAATTAACAACAGCATTCTTCTTTTAGAATACATCTTCCCCTAGGGGAAAGGGAGAAAAATGTAGATTTTAAGCAATAAAAAAAATCATGTCACCTTTTTTTTTTTTTTGAGTTGGAGTCTTACTCTGTTGCCCAGGCTGGAGTGCTGTGGCACATTCATGGCCACCCCAGCATCTACCTGCTGGGCTCTGGCGATCTTTCTGCCTCTGCCTTCCATGTAGCCGGAACTACAGGTGCACGCTACCATGCCCAGATAATTTTTTATTTATTATAGAGATGAGGTCTCACCAAGTTGCCTGGGCTGGTCTCAAACCCACTGGGCTCAGGCAATCCATTCGCCTCGGCCTCCAAAGTGTTAAGATTACAGACTGAGTTACCGAACCCAGCCTATCATGTCACCTTCTAACAATAGATTAATGTGGACACTAACCTAAGGGTTTGCTTCTAGAATGTTCAGCCTTTAGGCCCGGTGTAGTGGCTCACTCATGTAATCCCAGCACTTTAGGAAGCCAAGGTGGAAAGATTGCTTGAGCCGAGGAGTTGGAGACCAGCCTGGGCAACATAGCAAGACCTTGTCTCTATAAGAAATTTTAAAAATTATCTGGGTGTGGTAGTGCACTCCTGTAGTCCCACTTACTTGGGAAGCTAAGGTGGAAAGATCTCCTGAGCTAGGGAGGTTGAGGCTGTGTTAGAGCTGTGATTGTGCCACTGCACTGTAGCCTGGGTGACAGAGTGAGACTCTGACCCCCCCCCAAAAAAAGAAGGCTTAGCCATCAAGAGAGAAGTCTGTTCTGCTTGAAGTGTATGCAGAGTCTCTGAGTGCTGCCTGCTGCTTGTGGGTGGGTGTGCATGCCCTCTGGCCTCCCTGTGTTCCTATCCAAGTCTACTTTGATTGCATAAAAGAAACAACAAATCTCCTGCAGTGCTGTGACAACAGACTGAGTCTTGATGAGGAAGTCTTCCTGAACTGGAAGAGTGTATTCTTGCCCAAAAGATGAATTTTTTTTTTTTTTTGAGATGGAGTCTCACTCTGTTGCCCAGACTGGAGTGCAGTGGCCACTCCCGGCCACTGCAGCCTCGACCTGCTGGGCTCCAGCGATCCTTCCGCCTCAGCCTTCCGAGTAGCTGGAACTACAGGCGCGAGCTACCACGCCCGGCTAATTTTTGATCTATTGTGAAGATGAGGTCTCGCCAAGTTGCCCAGGCTGGTCTCTAACCCACGGGCTCAGGCAATCCACTCACCTCAGCCTCCCAAAGGCACGGGATTACAGGCTGAGCCACCGAGCCTGGCTCAAAAGTTGACTTTTTATTCTTTTTCCCCTCACAGAGACAGTAAGACGAATGATTTGTTCCAAGACTGCGCTAGTCTAAACATTTAAAGGAGCTCTCAAAGGTAGATGCTTGTAAACAGGGACTGAAGCCCAAGTTAGAGGCATCAGCTCTGAAGTGCGAGTTTTTAGCTCTGGCCCACGCCCAAGCTTGTGTTGGGGTTTTATGTAGGATTTCTGTTTGTGAGGCTATAGGAAGCACGCCTCTAGGTTAAGTGTAGACGGGACATAGAGGTCTCCTGTATTTCATTTTTGGGGGTTTTTTTAGTTGGAATCTCTTCCAGGCTGGAGTGCAGTGGCATACTCACGGTCACCATATCCTCAACCTGCTGGGCTCAGGTGATCCTTCTGCCTCAGCATTCCAAGTAGCTGGGATTACAGGTCTGGCTAATTTTTTGATTTATGGTAAAAAACAAGGTCTAGCCAAATTCCTCACCCTTGTCTTGAACTCCTGGGCTCAGGCAATCCTCTCACCTCTGCCTCCCAAAGTACTGGGATGACAAGTGTAGGCCACTACACCAGGCCCTATATTTCATGTTTGAATGGTCATTTAACAAACAAGATGCTTCAGTTTTGCAATAACTAGACAGTAGCCACTGGCCATGTATGGACACTGGACTCATGAAACATGGCTGCTCTGAACAGAGATGGGTTTAAGAGTCCAAAACACACTGGGTCTTGAAGACAAACAAGAAAAGAATTTTCATATCTCACTCATATTTTATATTGAATATATATAAAAAAGGTAACAGCCTGGAAACACTGGATTGAAAATAAATTAGAAAGTTAATCCACCTGTTTCTTTTTACCTTTTGTAATGTGGCTACTGAGAAACTGGCATGTTACATGACAACACAGCTCATATTATATTTCTATTGGGTAGTTCTTTAGATAACACCCTCCTGGGCTGGGCTGCAGTTGAGCACAGTTTTCGTGCCTGTGCAACTTGAAACTGACTACCTTTTAAATTCAAGATCACTAGAAGGCCAGATGGGTAGGGTAGGACGGGCCCATGTAGCTAGATTCTCTCAGTATGTGTGTTCTCAATGGCATCGCCCTGATCGTGTTCCCAGTAATATGAGATTTGCTGTTTGCCTGTCATAGCCTTCTGAGGTCAAGGTTACAGGACAATCCCTACTCCTGGTTTTGCCATGATTGTCCAAACTCTCCCACATCCCTGTTGAAGAGTCCTTTACATTGGGTTAGGGTGACGTAAAGAGGCAAAAGACTCACGAGGACAAGTACCTTCCAAGCAGTGTGTCTGTGGGTTTCTGTCAAATCGTGAACCAGATACTATCCACTGCTGCCTTGGTGCTTGAGGCTTCTGTTGGTGGTGATGTCACCAGGCTCCTTTGATGATGCAAGTACCCTGATGGGGCACCTGCCCCAAGGGGTTTCTCATTGTTTCCAGATACGAGATGATGGGAAAATTCCAGGATATTTACAGTATTCTTTTTGCTTTTTATCCCCTCTGATGTGCTTCTTTTGTATTGGAAATCTCTAATTTCAGATCTATTTTGATTATTTTAGATTTTAAAAGTTAAGTTTCTTGAATTTTTTTTTTTTTAGTAGGAGTCTCACTCTGTTGCCCAGCCTGGAGGGCAGTGGCATGCTCACGGTCACCATAGCCTCAACCTGCTGGGCTCAGATGATCCTTCTGCTTCAGCCTTCCAAGTAGCTGGAGCTACAGGCATATGCCACCACACCTGGCTAATTTTTCCTGATTTATTGTAGAGATAAGGTCTCACCAAGTTGCCCGAGCTGGTCTCAAACCCATGGGTCAGGCAATCCTCTCACTTCAGCCTCCCAAAGTGCTGAGAGATTAAAGGCGTGAGCCACCACACCCAGTGAAGTTTCTTGAATTTAAAGTGTACTTTTTTTTCTCTCTCCCCTTCACTGTCCTGGACCTGATAACTGTTGCTGGTACTGAAGGGAACACAACCATCCGCATTGAGCCCTCTGAGAAGCTGGCGATTCAAGAAACTTCACTTCCCTGGAGAAGCTTCTGCCAGACCTAGATAAAAAATGGGCTCTGCTAAATGGGCTCCTTAAACCCTAAGAATGTATCTGTTCTCTCAGTCCTTAAATAATAGCTGATTTCTTTTATGCCTGGGAATCAAATTTATGTGAAATGTTAATTATTAGCTAAGTCTTGTGAACCAAAACTCCCGGTAGAAGCAACTGCTGCCAACAGAAAGCACGCAGCCCCAAATTGTTCAAAGCCATCATAACTTGGAAGAATGGCAGGGTTGATACAATCTGAACACAGTTGATGCTAGCAACCGCTTGGGGTCTAGACGCAAAGATAATAATGTCCATAAGACACGTAATTGCTATTAATCAATAGTTAAGGAAGGCAAGACAATGCCTGTTTTACCATAAATACTGGAATGAGTTTGTGTTGTTTGAGCAGGCCCTGATAAAAATACCAGGCCTGTCACCCTGAATTCTGAATTCAGAATAAGCTGCTTTTCTCCCAGTTTTTTGCCTCTCATGTCTCATTGGCCACGAGAGTAAGCAGCTGGTTTTTCCATCAAACCATATCACCTTGCTTTCTAATGACTGATTCTTACTCATAGAGATTTTTGATGACTTGTTGTTATGACTGAATTGCGAGAAAGAGACACGTCAGCAAGCCAAGTCTAATTAATTATGAGTCCTTTATTAACACGCAGGTCAAGAGCAGGCTCAGGCCAGAAAAACTCTTGACATCCAAACTAAACTAGTAAGAAGCTTATAAAGGCAAACCGCCAGTGGGCTGCATAGCAGGGGGTGAGGGTACAAGGAACTAAAAACAAAAGGAAGCATCTCTTGGATTTCAGTTAACAAGGCATACAATTTCACGGAACTTGTGGCTAGGGAGTCTTGCAAACGGTCAATAGGAACAGTCAATATGATCAGCTCAAGGGAACGCAGCTGTGGGTCTGTGGTCATGGGAACGTAACAGCAATTACACATACACAATGGGGGTTCGTTTCTAGGTCAAGCGGGCAGTTAAGATGGAAGACTTTAACAAGATGGAGTTACGTATGTCAAACAAGCTATCACAGATTATTATTACTTATATCAAGCATTAAGCAAACTGGTTTTATATTAAGCACGCTATTATAAACCATTATTGATTTTTTAGCTATTTCAGTGTGTGTGTGTGTGTGTGTGTGTGTGTGTGTGTGTGTGTGTGGGTGTGTGTGTGTTCATGTATGAAAGAGAAAAGTTACATCTTTCTCCTTTTTCTTCCTGCAGGTCCTGTTCAATTACCCCTGTCAGTGAGTCCCTTGTTATGCTTTCTTAGAATGCCAGAAGGTTGTTTAAGTATCTCTTTTTTTTTTTGAGTTGGGGTCACCCAGGCTGAATTGCAGTGGCACGATAATGGCTCACTTGAAGCCTCGACCTCCTGGGTTCAGACGATCCTCCCATCTCGGACTGTAGGCATGCATCACCACGCCTGGCTAATTTTTTTATATATATATATTTTTTTTTTTGTAGAGACAGGGTCTCACTATGTTGTTCAGGTTTGTCCCAAACTCCTGGGCTCAAGAAATCCTCCCACCTCCACCTCTCAAAGTGCTGGGATTATAGGTGTGAGCCACTGCACTCAGCCTGACATATCTTTTTAAGGAATACCATGCAACCTACAACACATGATAAAAATAAAAATTACAAGAAAAAAACTCACAGCACCAAGGGTCGTACAATCCACACCACG